TCTCTCTCTCTCTCTCTCTCTCTCTCCAGTTATTACTCTAATTGATTTGCTAATTTGTGCTTATTAGGCGTATGTTAGATGATTAACATAGTACGTTGATAATATGGGTCGAGGAAAATAAGGCTACCGCCTGGCTCTGTTCCACCAAGTAGTACGTCAATAGTGCACGCCAGGTTAGAGTAAATGTCCGAAAAAGCGAAAGACGTGATATGGTGTGATTGAGAATAAAAAACTTCGCTTGCCCTAATTGGACGACAACTGGACATATCTTTGTGACTGAATGGGTTAATATTAATGGGTAAAAATTTTAAATTTTTTAATATTACAACTCTTAAGATTGGATTTGATTTGATTTTACTTTCACTTTGACCGAGACATATCCGAGAGAGTAGCAACACACTGTTTTTAAAAATATTATAAAGTTAATATGTGCAATTAATTTTCCTAGCCTTGTGGATAGATGGTAGGTGGTCTGGGCATAGGCAAAAGGACTATCTATTTTAATCTGGCTCGTTGGATGTCTGAATTTTAATCTTAGCCGTTGATACAAAAATTGTGTAGGATTGAATTTGAAGTTGAACATTATTAGTGGGTCCAAGTTGTCAGTAGAGGTCTGAAAGCGTATAAGGTATGCAGGTGGACGGTAGCAGATAAATGTCTGGTTACTTTCGCTTTCACCGAGAGATATTGGAGAGAGTAACAAGACACTGTTCTGAAATAATATAAAGGTAATATATCAAGAATAGCAATTAATTTTCCCAGCGTTGAGGGTAGAGGGTAGGTGGTCTGGGCATAGGCAAAAGGACTGCCCATTTTAATCTGTATCGTTGGATGTCTGAATTTTAATCTTAGCCGTTGATACCAAACTTGTGTAGAATTGAATTTGAAGTTGAACTATACTTGTGGTTCCAAGTTGTCAGTACAGGTCTAAAAGCATGTAAAGTATGTAGGTGGACAGTAGGAGAAAAATGTCTTTTACTGAGAGGGCATAATCGGTAATCTTGCAATATATGAATGTCATTGCATTTGTAAGGCTTAAAACAACAGCATGTAATAATAATAATATTTATATTTTATTTCATGAAGATCACAAATATTGTATCTTTAATGCTAGTATTTAAATTTATACACATATATATTAATTTTAATCTAATTTAATTTCAATTCAAGTGTTGCAATTTAATAAAATTTCAAATATAATTTAATCAAATTTGATTTAATTTAATTTCAGTTAGTAATATTTTAATGTAATAAAACTTCAAGTATAACGTAATCAAATGTAAATTAATTTAATTCTAATTTTAATTAAATTAAAACTTCAAGTGTGACTTAGTCGGATTTGATTTAATTTAATTTCAATAAGGATATCTCAATTTAATAAAATTCTAAATGTAATTTAATCAAATCTACTTTTAAGTGTAACTTAATCAATTATTACTTAATTTAATTTTAAATGTGGCTAAGTTTGACTTAAGCAATGGTGGCTCAATTTAATTCAAATTAAAATGATTCACTTTAATTCCAATTAGGTTGTTTTAAAATCAATTTAATTTCATACATGACTTAATTTAATCTTAATTCTTATAAAATTCCAAGTATAATTTAATTTAGTTGAAATTAGAATGTCTTAATTTAATTTCAAATGTAATATAACACTTAATGTAATTTCAAACGAGTGTCTTAATTTAATTTAACTTTAAGTGTACCTTAATCCATTGTGATTTAATTTAGTCATACTTAGTTGTCTAAATAGAACTTGAAACGAAATGTGACTTAATCAGTTTATTACTTAATTTAATTTTAAATGTGACTAAGACTTTAATAAGGGGAGCTAATTTAATTCAATTAGCATGTCTTGATTTAGTTTAATCTCAAGTCAGGTATGGCTTAATTTAATTTCAAGTAGGATGTCACAATTTGATAAAATTTCAAGTATGACTTAATCAAATAACTTAATTTAGTCCCATGAAGGTATTTTAACTTAAATTAATTTTATTTCACATGCAGCTTAATTTCATTATGATTAAGGTGTCTTAGCTGAATTCAATTTAGTTTCAAATGCGACCAAATGTAATTTAATTTAGTTCAAATGAATATGTACTAATTTAATGTAATCTGATTTCAAATGTGGCCACTCAATCAATTATAACTTAATTCAATTACATTTGATTATTTAAATAGAAGTTTAAAATAAATGTAAAAATCAATTGTTATTCAAATTGACTCCAATCTTTAGGTGTCTTAATTTAATTTCATTTAATATAATCTAATCAAAAGAGACTTAACTTAATTCAAATTAGAGTGACTTGATTTGCTTACTTAATTTAGTTGCAAATTAATTTTAATTTAATTCTATTTCAATTTAATAAAATTTCAAGGTTGATTTGATTTAACTCCAATTATAGTGGCTTAGTTTAATTTAATTTAATGTCAAAATGTGACTAAATGCAACTTAATTTAATTTCAACCGGATGTCCTAATTTAATTTGATTTCAATTGTGACCAAGCGTAGTTTAATCAAGGTGACATTATTGTCTAAATAAAATTTAAAATCAAGTGTGACTTAATCAATTATTACTTAATCCAATTCAATCAGTGTCTTGATTTAATTAATCCTCAAGCCTGATCAGATACGACTTAATTCAATTTCAATTAAGTTATCTCAATTGAATAAAATGATAAGTTTGACTTAATTTGGTTTCTGATAATATCTAATAATAAAATATATAAAACAATAATATAGAAAGATACTAAACTCCTAAATAAACTCTAACTAACAGATAAATTAGGATTCATATTATCCTTATTTAACTATAAATTATTTCTCCATCAATATAAATATTTTCAATTAAGCTTAGAGGAGGGCTAATTCACAATTTCTTGTTTCTCAATTTCTGAGAACCTAGCAGGTCCAATTTGGGTACTTTAATTTAAATTAATTTTTATTTCAAATATGACTTAATTTAATTTCAATTAAGTTTTCTCAATTTAATAAAATTTCAAGTGTCTTAGTTTACTTATAAGTAAGCTGATTATTTTAATTTCAAATGTAAAAAAATATATGTCACTTCAATTCCAATTAAGGTGTCCTAATTTAGTGTAATTTAATTTCAAGTGTTACCAAGTTTGAGGCAGTCAAATGTAACTTAATTAAATCACATTTGATTTCTAAATAGAACTTGAAACCGAGTGTAATTTATGAGTTGCTACTTAATTTAATTCCACTTTAGATATTTTAATTTAATTTCATTCCAAAGGCAACTTAATGTGATCTAATTGTAATTAAAATTGACTTAAATTAATTCAATCCTAAGTCTGATTAAGTATGATTTACTTTAATTTCAATTAGAATGTCACAGTTCATATTTCATGCGTAACTTAATCAAATGACTTAATTTAGTTTTAATTAGACTGTTTTAATTTCAATTAACTCAAGTATCATTTAACTTAATTTTGCGTTCCCACACCAACTCTTCTCACCTCAACATGGAAATTACTAATAAACAGTTTGATATTTAATTACTCATTTATCCCTCCCCCTCAATAGATATACTTTTAGGCATGATTTTTTTGTCTGATGCGGTTAAGTTTTGATTTGATTTTATTATCGCTATTACTTTCTCTTTGACAGAGAAGTAGGAGGGGAAAGTAATAAAATACTGTCTTAAAAATAATATACAATTAATACGTCAGAATAACATTTTATTTTTCTTAAAAAAAAGAAAAAAGAAAATAGGCTTGTGTGTAGATGGTCAAGGCAACGGGCAAAAGCACCGGATCGTGGCAGCAGCAGCCTGTGCTATATCAGTTTCCAATATATTGTTAAAAGAATCTGGATCGTTGATGGCTAAATTTAAATCTAAGCCGTTGATTAAAAACTATATAGAACAAAAAATGTACATAAATGTAAAAAAAATTATTTATGAATGTAAAATTTTTTTATTTAGTATATTAATGTTTATAAAGAAATTTAAAATTTATTTATAAAAAAATTTTATAAAATTTTCCCTGTTTCTCAACAATTTCTTTGCCTTTGTGTGTTTCATTTCACATTTTCTGTTCTCAATTTCCTTAGCTTTATTTATTTCTTTCCTTCTCTCTCTGTAAATCTAACCTAAAATAATTTTTTTCTCAAAATGCACTTTCAGAAAATTCTATTATGAAATCAAACTATGAAAAATTCAAGAATTGGAAGGATCAAATTCATCTTTCTCTGTTCCTCAATCAATTTCCTTATCTTCGTGTATTTCATTTCACATTCCTCTGTTCCTCAATTTTTTAATCTTTATTTATTTCTCTCTGTAAATTGAATCCAAAATAGTTTTTTTCTGAAAATGCACTCTCAAAAATCTTATTCTGAAATCAAACTATGAAATATTCGAGAATTAAATGGATGAAATCCAAAAGAAAATTCAAGAATGATATGAAATTAAAGTTTGAGTTTATTATATTTAATTTAGACTTTTGTTTTCATGACAAAAGTTATACTTTTGATTGTCTGATCTCAAATTCTTTTGTTTAAAAAATCAAAGTTTCATAATAAACTTTCATTGGGAGTGTTAAAAATGTATACATTTATGTAATGTGCAGAATGAAAGTTATTTTTGTCTTTTCTGTTTCTTTACCTTTGAACAAAACATTTTATATTTTTAACATTTTCTTCCTTATTTTTACATAAAAAAATAGATTACAATTGTCTCTCTAATAGATAAGCTTCATTTTTCAAGTATTTTCTATTTTGCTTTTTCTTAAGTATGTCTATATATATATTAATGGAAATTTTTTATTTTTTTAATAATTTTGAGATTTAATTCTTTTTTCATGAACTTCTATATATATATAAATTCTAAAATTCAGTTTTATCGCTTACCATTTTTCCTCACTTTTTTTTTCATCCATCTAATTTATTGTTTTTAAGTTTGAATCTGTAAAATGACTAAATGAATTTTTTTTTACAGATTATTTAAATGAATTTTTAGGCTAGCATATAATTATTAAAGTAGCTAATAGTATACCGTTAATTATTTTTCAATGGTTGCATTTTTATTCTCTCCATATTCATTTTGTCTTTCCCCTCTCCCTCTCCTTCCCGTTTTCCGGTCAAACGACCATTGTTTTTGGCGAGTGAGGCTCTAAAATCATCTATTCGTCGCAAAGAGTTCGATTCAAGCCTTGGTTTGCGCGATTTGAGCCCGGATCGAGAGAAAGTTCGACCGAAAGGGTTTGGCGCCGTCGCAGCAACTTTCCCAGCCATTCACGCCGTTTTAGGCGACCTAAAACTTCGAGGTAGGTGTCGATCGATTCCTCTCCTTTCCCTCTTTCATTTGACTGTTTCGGTGTTGTGTATGGTGGCCGGAATCGGAAAACCCAAAGCGGTGTCCACCGAACACTCTAGGTCGATTTCCGGCCAAATGGTTCACACCCACCTTAATTTGATCACATATCAGCGATCCTCTCGTCCAAACGAATAAAATATTGTATTGTTTGTAAATTTGGGTGAAGGTTCGATTTGCCGGCCAACGTGCACGGCTGCCGGCGGCTACGGACCAGTGGCCGGTTGCTGGGGACCCTAAATGCAGAATCTCGGGCTCTTCACGTAGAACACGATGGTACCGGCTATATCTTGAACCGGGAGCAATAACTTCAAATTCTAAATAAATTGCAAATTTTTTCGATTTAAATTGTTAAATTCTCATTATGCGCAGAGGAAAAAAAGGCTGGCGCCTGGCTCTGCTCCACCAAGTGTAGGACAATAGTGCACGCCAGGTTAGGGTAAATGTCCGAAAAAGCGAAGAACGTGATATGATGTGACAACGTGGGCATATATTTGTGACTTAATGGCTTAATATTAATGGTATTGCACGTTTTTGTGCACGCTTTTGTTCGGTGATTAATTGGGGTAATTGGTTGGAATTACAAAGGGTAAAAATTTTGAATTTTTTTATATTTCAAACTCTTTAAGATTTGATTTGATTTGATTTTCACTTTGACCGAGACATATCAGAGAGAGTAGCGGCACACTGTTCTAAAAATAATATAAAGGTAATATGAATAGCAATTAATTTTCTTAGCGTTGTGGATAGAGGGTAGGTGGTCTGGGGACTGGGCATAGGCGGGTGGAGGGTAGGTGGTCTGGGGACTGGGCATAAGCAAAAGGACTGCCTATTTTAATCTGGGTCGCTGGATGTCTGAATTTTAATCTTTGCCGTTGATACAAAAATTGTGTAGGATTGAAGTTGAACTATATTAGTGGGTCCACGTTGTCAGTAGAGGTCTAAAAACATACAAGGTACGTAGGTGGACAGTAGGAGAAAAATGCCTTGTCTTGAGAGGGCATACTTGGTAATCTTGCAATATATGATTGTCACTGCACCAAGTGAAATCGAGTTTGTGTCCCCAAATTTCCAAGTAAAATTCCAGCTGTCCACGTCCAATTTTTCTTTTTTAAATAAAAAGTTAAAAAATAGTTTACTATTAAAAGAAAGCATATAAAAACACATCACTTTCTTTGAACAGGTTTTCACTTTCTTTCTCTGTCCTTCTGAGAAATTAATGGCAGCTGAACAGGTTAATAGGCCACCATCACTCCCTTGTTACCTTGGGTATAAAAGCATCACCTATTTCCATTTTCACTGTCTTCTGAACAAAGAGAAGGAGAAAAAAAAAAAAAAATGAGAAAGGGAAATATTTTTCCATTTATCATTCTTATATTTTTCAAAATGATAATAATAATATTAATTTTAATAATTTCGTGATTAGATTTTGTTCTATCTATAATTGGTCTATTATTTTTCATCTGTAATTATTTTTCTTTATTTATCTGACCTTTTTTTTTAATTTTTTTTTTGTTTTCTTTTTCATGTGTCTAGAGATGAGATTATACCCAGTTTGAGTTTAGAGCGGTTTCTGGAAGCTCTTGTTTAACTTCTTAAGTAAGAAGAAGAAATAAATTTGGGGTTTTTTGTTTGGGATTTTTTTATTGAATGTTTTTATTATGGATTGATAATAAGAGGCTGTTGCCTGTTTGTAATTTGAATCTTTTTGTTTAGGTGTATGATTTGAGACTCTCATTTGTTGATGCTGCTTATTTATTGTTTCTACTTTGATGTCTGCGTATCTGTGCATGAATTTGGGCATGCCGTTTCTGCTGCTAGGTCACTTCTTCTTTTAGTTTTGTTTTTCTTTGTTCTTGTTTTACAGAATTCCTTGGTGATAAACATAAGTTTTACAGAATTCATTGAGTAACAACGGTGTTCTTGTTTCCTTCATTTGATGTGGCAGCTTCCTTTCCCCTTTTTTTTTTTTTTTTGAAAACCCATTCGTAGCCGAACTTTAGATATTCTGAGATTTTCAATAGATTATTTCTATATATTAAATTTGTCTTATTACTCTATATATTAGCTAGGTTATTAACTTAGTTTAGCCTCAAGCTCATGATTGAATATGGATATACATTAAAGCTTGTTGTTCACTTTGTTGGATTCTGTTCTTGTTTGCTTTTTGCTTAGTGTGTTAAACATTTCAGTTCTGTTATTCTTTTTTTTGGCTTTTAAAATTATGAAAGCATGGGATTGTCTTCTTTCTTGATTACTTTTATGGCCTTATTTTTCCAGATACCAATTTTTTTTTTTTTTAATTCTTGAAGTTGCTGTTTCACCTAAGTTCTAGAGATATTTGTTTGCGTTTTTTTTTTTTTTTTTTTTTTTTTTTTTTTTTTTTTTTTTTTTGGCTTTTAAATTATGAAAGCATGGATGAGAGGAGAATTTTTCCCAGATACCATTTTTTTTTTTTTTAATTCTTGAAGTTGCTGTTTTCACCTAAGTTTAGAGATATTTGTTTGCGCTTTTTTTTTTTTTTTTTTTTTTTTTTTTTTTTTTTTTTTTTTGTTCTAACAATACTATATCAGCCTAGAGATTGGCTACTGAACTTGTTAACTATGTATGCAGACATATCACGATGCTAAATTCAATCCTGTCCTTTTGTCTGAACTTCATTTGTCATGTCATTGTTTCTAAAATCTTTTCGTTTATTTTGGATTGTAGGACAAAGGAGCAACTTGGTTATGTTGATAAATGCAGCCCAAAAGTTATACTGCTAGTTTTATGGCTTCTGGTAACTAGTTCTTTTCACCTATGCTGTCTAAGTTGTATGTTTATTGGTCCAATGGTACAACCTTCGTGTTTAATTAGATGCAAAATCATATTATGTTCTAAGTTAGACGTCCAAATATAATTTACCCATAATAATCACACCATTAGTAAAATATTTTGAACTCAAAAGTATAACAAAGTAATTGTCTTCATTAATCACATAATTATAATGGTCTTAATAATTTAATCATAAGCAAGGAGTCATTTACTTTTTTCCTCTTCTTCTTGACTTGTTTTTATTAAATTAATCTTAATATTTAATCTTGAATTTAATATCTCTTTAAAAAATCTTAAATCTTAATGTAAATTCTTGACACATTTTAGATTGCAATTTGTAATTAAAGAAATTTAATCGTATTCTTTTTAAAGAAAATCTTAATTATTTATATGTATTTATTTAAAATAAATGTTAAGAAAATAAAAAATTTCAAATGCCTCATATTTATGTATATTTGATTATTTAACTCAAGTATCATTTAATTTAATTTCAATTATCTCAATATTAATAAAATTGAAAATTCAGTTTAATCAAATGCGATATTAATATTACCAAAAGTAATTTACCGGCAAATATTTGCATTCCGAGATTAACTCTTTTGACTTCAGAATGGAAATTACTAATAGATATTTTGGTATTTAATTACTCATTTATCCCTTATCCTCGATGAGCATATTTTTAGACATGACTTTTTGTTTGATGCGGTTAAGTTTTGATTTGATTATATTATCGCTATTACTTTTGCTTTGACTGAAAGGTGGGAAGAAAAACAATGAAATGCTGTTTTAAAAATAATGTAAAATTATTATGTCATAATAGCAGTTAATTTTTCTGAAAAAATTAAAATAAAAATAGCGAATAGGCCAATGGAAATGTGGTCAGGGCAATGGGCAAAAGCCCTGGATCAATGTAGTAGCAAATATCTGGATCGTTGATGGCTAAATTTAAATCTAAGTCATCGATAAAAAAACTGAGTAGAATAAAACTTTTTATAACTGTAAAAAACTGGAAGTTATTGATAAATGTAAATTTTTTTTTGTTTAGAATATTAGTGTTTGTTTTGAAATTGAATGTTTATATATAAAAAAATAAATCTTTTGTTGTTCCTCAAACAATTTTTGTGCCTTTGTGTTTCATTACACTTTTTCTGTTCTTAGTTTCCCTAGCTTTGTGTATTTTGTTTCTTCTCTTTCTGTAAATCTAACCAAAATTAATTTCTTTTTCAAAGTGCGCACATAGAAATTCTTATTATGGAATCAAACTATAAAAAATTAAAGAATTGGAAGGATCAATTCCATCTTTTGTGTGTCTAGTTCACCTTGCTCTGTTCCACATTTTTCGTGTTTTTGTTTATTTCTATCCTGTCGTTATAAATTTAATCCAAAATAATTTCTTTCTCAAATTGCATTCTCAAAAAATCTTGTACTGAAATCAAACTATGCAAGTTGAGAATGATACGAAATTCGAGAATGATGCGAATGATCCATCTCCAAAAGAAAATTCGAGAATGATACGAAATCAATGTTTCAGAAGCAACTTTTTTTGGGAGTGTATGTTATTTATGTAATGTGCAGAATGAAAGCTATTATTGTTAGTAGTTTTTCGTTTTGACATCTGAACAAAATATTTTCTACTTTTAACTATCTCTATATTTTCACATAAAAAATATATTACAATTGTTTATCTAATGGATATGCTTCAATTTTCAAGTCTTTTTTGTTTTGCTGTTCATTAAAGAAGTCTGTATACACGTTAATGAAAATTTGTTATTTTTCTAATAATTTTGAGATTTAATTTTAATTAAATAAGTTATAAATCTCAGTTTTATGGTTTATCATTTTTCTTCTCTTTTTTTCTCATCCATTTAATTCTTGTTTTTAAGATAAAGTTTGTATAATGACTAATCCTGGGCTTAAAGTTGGAATGTTAGAGAATTTTTTTTCTGTGTAATGTGTGCTGGGGTGTTTGCTGGGATAGTTATTGTTTTGTACACTATTTAGATGGATTTTTTAGCTAGTCTGTTTTTGTTAACGTAACTAAAGGTATACTGATAATTGTTGTAGCATTTTTAAATAGGTGGCACAAGTTAATTAATTTTGAATTTTGTAAATATAAAATTGGTGTGTTTTGATAGCTTTTGTTTGCACAAAAGTTAATAATAATACAAAATTTTCATTGAATGCATTTTTAAGGAATTTAGTGCTTAAACATGGAACTGTGGGAGGAGAGGAAAATAGATAACAAAATAGGGGTGATGGTGGTGACGATGACTGAGAAGAAAATGCCTCATTTACTCTGGAATTTCAACTAGTGGGCATCTTGAGTTTTAATTTAAGTTATTTTATTTACTGATATTGAAAAATGGGGTTACTTGAAAGGAAGAGAGTTATGCAATGTGCTAGTGTACATGGTAAAATTAAGGGGGAGGGAGATAAGACAAGGTCGGATCAGCAAAGCTGACATGGTTATATTTTTTAAAAATTAATTTCATTTTTTGTTAGCTTTCTGAGAAATCACCAGTGGAATTAAGCAGGATTATTATAATTAGATGGGGTATTTTCATCTCTGCCCTGTGACCATTATCAACCCTATTTTGTTCTGTATGTTTCTCTTTTCTCGCAATTCGTTGTTTATGTATTCCATTAAATTCCTGAAACCATGTATGACTCTCAAAAACGTGGATAATGTCTTGAATTCCTGAACAAAGGCAAAATTTAACGAAATTATTTGTTGGAGCAAAGTTATAGACTAGTGTTGCAATTAGGAATGATGTTCTGCCTTGCCAATAGTTCAAATTTTGTGTTCAAACTGACTGACTTGTGCCATTTCTTCTAGAATGATGCAACAATTAAGAGTATATCTTTAGCTATATTAATATAAACATACAAGTCCGAAAATTCATCTTAATGGTCTGTAAAAAATTTAGTGAAATGGAAACAATAAATCAATTTTGGGAAATAAAAACAATAGCTATTCTCTCAAACGTCATGACATATATATGACATAGAAAAAATTTTCTCTAGTATTCTAGCTTTAAGTTAATACTAGCTTTAAGTTGGGCAGGTCATTTTACAATTTTGAAAACAAAAAATTAAATGGATGAGAAAGAAGAGGGGTGGGTTTCAGAGCTTATATATTTATATAGGGATGAGAAAGAAGAAGGGTGGGTTCTTTTCAAGAGCTAATATAATGTATATATATATATTATATAGTATATATATAATATATATATATTTTTAAGATTTTGCTTTTCAATATATTTTAAGATTGCTTTCATTTTGCACGAAAAATAAAAATGCACATTTTTAACACTCGAAAAAAATTTCATCTGGTACTTTGGTTTTTTAAGCAAAAAAATTTCTTCTGGAACTTTGGAAAATAGAAAGGTGAATTCGATATTAGAAACTCAAAAGGTTAAACTATTGTAATAAAAACAATCGCTTAAATGAAATGGGTTAAATTCAAATTTTGATCTCGTATTATTATTAAATTATCCTTTGGATTTGATCTATTTAATTCTTGAATGTTATATCTGTTGATTTCAGTTTAAGATTTTTTGAGAGTGTATTTTGAAAAAGAAATTATTTTGGGTTAGACTTAGAAGGAGAAAAATAAACAAAGAGAAGGAAACTAAGGAACAAGAGCCAGGTGAAATGAAAAACACAAAAATAAGGAAAAATGAATTTGATTCCATATAAGATTTTTAAAAAGTGCATTTTGAGAAAAAACTCTGTTCGGGTTAAGAGTTGCTCAGAGAGAAGGAAGGAAATAATCATCAAAGCTAAGGAATTAGAAATGGTGAAATGAAACACGTAATTTTGAAGAAATTGATTGAGGAACTGAGAATATTTATAGATAAAAAAATTTTTTGTCAATAAATTTTAAATTTATAAATAAGCATTAATATTCTAAATAAAAAAGTATAACATTTATAAAAATTTTTTATTTTACACAGTTTTTTGTTAACGTGTAGATGTAAATTTCACCGTCGATCCAGATTCTAGATTCTTTTCACAGTACATTGGTATATGATATTGCACAGGCAGCTGTTGCAACGATCCAATGCTATCTGCTATTTGTAATTTTTTTTTTAGAAAAATTAATTGCTGACATATTAATTCTATATTAATTTTAAGACTGTATTTTATTACTTTTTCTTTACTTTTTTAGGTTGAAGTGAAAGTAACAGCAGTAATAAAATTAAATTAAAAATTAACCGCATTAGAAAAAAAATCGTGTCTAAAAGCTCTCAAGAGTGATGGGTAAATGAGTAATTGAATATCAAAATGTCTATTAGTAATTTTCATGCCTGGGAATGCAAAATCAAATTAAATGATAATTTAGTTACTTCTAATTGAAACTAAATTAAGACGCTTGATTAGGCTGGGTATGGAATATGAGATCCTAATTGAAATTACAGTAAATCATGCTTGGTTAGACTTGGAATGAAAAGAAATTAAAATATCTGAAGTGGAATTGTATTAGGTAACAATTGATAAATTACATTTGGTTTCAAGTTTTATTTACATTTGATTCCGTCACAATTGACAACACTTGAAAGTAAATTGAAATAAAGGTAAACTATTGATCAAGTCATATTTGAAATAAAGGTAATTTAAGTTAAAGTGGCATTCATATATTGCAAGATTACCAATCATGCCCTCTAAAAAGAAGACATTTTCTCCTACTGTTCACGTAAACACCATTTATGCTTTTAGACCCCTACTGACAACTTGGATCCACTCATATTGTCCAACTTCAATCCTACACAATTTTTATATCAACGGGTAAGATTAAAAGTCAGACATTCAACGATCCAAATTAAAAAGGGCAGTCCTTTTGCCTATGCCCGGACCACCTGCCCTTTACCCACATGGTTAGGAAAATTAATTGTAATATTAAAAATATTAAAATTTTTAATAGGCTCCCACGAAAAACCGACGCGGATTTACCGTTTCACCCTCTGGCTTGCCAACCATTTGCACCCAATTAATGACCAAACAAACTCGTGCAGTACCACTAATATATCAACCCACGTTGTCGCCCAATTAGTGCACGCCACGTTCTTTGCTTTTTTGGGCGGTTACCCCAACCTGGCGTGCACTATTGACCTATACTCGTGGGGCAGCGCCAGGCGCCAGTCGCCAAGCTTATTTTCCTCCTCGTATGTTATCAATGTACTATGTTAATAG